TCATTCATTCTTTCCATCCCCGCTGTCATTGCCCTGTTGAGGCTCACAGCACATCATGCCTGAATTATGGCAGCTGCCTCCTAAGGGGTCTTTCTACCTCTGCTCATTCTCTCCCGTTCAATTCACCCGCTATATCACCACTGCACTACTTGTCAGAAATCACTGCTTTGAATATTTCCTTGTCTTCCCACAACTCAGGATTTCTGCCATGGTCCATCGCTTGCCAAATAAAATCCCAATCTCTCTCGAGCTTCACAGAGGGGTCCCTCCTCTGCATGCTGTGTATTTGCTGTTCATCATAGCAGCGAGTATTTTTTTTTTTTTTTTTTTTTTTTTTTTTTTTTTTTTTTTACCTCTGGGCTCTCTGCTCTTGCCATGTGAAATGCCTCTCTACTCCTGTCTCAGTCCATGGAATGTATTATATATTCAAGGCAAACTTAGAATCTACATTAATCCGAGGGACTCCCATGGTATTAAAGGTTCTCTCCCTTTTCTAGCATCTTTTCACTACTTCTGTGGCTTTTATCACATGTTAATTTGTCTTACTACCTAAGTACAGTTAGTGTTCACTCGACATTATGGATAGATTTTCGGAAACAACAGAAAGTGAAGCTAGCGAAGTCAGCTAATTGATCTAAACAAGAGTTCCGTTCCGGTGGCATCCCCTCATCATTATAAAGAAACGATGTTGAACAGAATGACATTATTCAAAGACCTGCAATACATGTTTTATCTCACACTGTTTCACCACCTACATGGTTAACCACCTACCTCTGCTGGAAGTTCTCCAGTGGCTCTCCACAGCTTCCAGGACAAAGTTTAAACCCTTCATCTTGTCATATGAGTGTCTCCTAACCTGATGCCTGCCCACTTCTCTTCTCACGTCTGCATCCACCCAAGGTCCATCGTTCCAATCCACTTGTAATTCCCCAACGCCTCATATGCTTTCATGCCTGTTCTGCCTTTGCTCTCCCCACTTGATCTGCCTGGAATGTTTTTTGCTTCACTGGTTTGACTGTCCAAACAGGCCTGTCTTTCAAGATTCAACTCAGGTGCCACCTCCTTCAGGATGCTTGTCTCTGACACCCCAGCCCGGGAGAGGCACATCCTTCCTGCCTCTGCAGTGCCCTGTGACACTGCACTGCCTTTGCCGGTCTGCTAACCTGCCTTTCCTAGGGGAATGTGCGTTTCCTAGGGGCTGCAACACTTTCATCTTCCCACCTGTATTCCTAGCACCTAGCCCAGGGCTGTTAATGTAGTGAAACCAGGCAGGTTTGGTCTGGGGAAGCCAGCTGGATATGTAGATAGGTCTCCACCAGGTCGCATTTACTTAGGTGAGTTTGCTATGACTCAGGGCCTGGCTTTCAGCCTGAAAGCCTGGGAACATGGCTTAACATATTGTGAGTGGATCTGTCTCACCAAGGTAGAATCTTATTAGCCAAGCTCACAGAGCCTACTATGTAAAACTGGCATGCCTGTGCACCCGTTATTAAGGAGCATGCTAATTGGACTGTTGCTGGCCTTAACCTGACCTGAGAATTTCTCCCCTGTTTATGTGTCACCCAGAAAGCCAAGTCTCTCAGTGTGTATTTGCAGCCAGTTTACTTTATTTCACAATGACTAATCACATGAGTCGTGTGTGGATTTTACTAGCTCACCTGTTAAAGAACAAACAACCTTATTTCTGAGTTCTTGGGGGAGAGACGGTACTCATCAGTAAGCCTTTAGTAAACATGTGTGTGACATTGATGATTGGGTAAACGCATGCAGATTCCCTCCACTAGATAAATGATTGCTTTGATTGAAAAGCTAACTGTGGCAAAATAACATAGAGACCTATTCCATCTGACCTCATTACTAGAAAACCCTATTTCTCTTTTGAAATTTCTTTAACTCTCTTACATGTTTCTAACTGTTTTTCTCCACATTCTTCCTAGCCATCACATTAGAACCCAGCACCGGATGTCCGGCACCTAAATGGCACACTGCAGACTGAGCTCTCTCCCTGCTTTCTCTGCCTACCTTGTCTCTTCTGCTGCTCTGGCTGCTGCCACCACAAGCCCTGCCTCTTCCCCATTTCTCCTCCCTCCAAAACCAGTTTTATGTCTTCTGCTTTCTAAGTCAGAAAATTGAATTGCCTTGTGGCTCACCTCTGAGGTAAGTGGTCCAGCGCAGGCTCTGCTGAGACCTTTGATGCTGCATTTGGTGGCTGCACATCCCTACCTTCAGCCCTCCTTCCAGAGTGCATGGTTTATGTTAGAGAAGTAGTTCTGTTTATGTTAAAGAAATAGCTCTGAATCAAGTGAAAAGACCGGGATCCCTCATCCAAGTGATGTGCTAATAAAGTCAGTTCGAAAGAGGAGAATCAGCCTTTTGTATCGGGTCTAGTAATAATTAATGTCGTTTTTTAACATTCGTTTAAAATCTTGCTTGGCGTTGACTTGTATTGACATAACCTTCAAACACGTGGTATCTACAGAACGTGTGAAGTGCAATTAACAAGTTTTGCTTGAAAAAGTTTGTGTTTGGTTTGGTTTTTGTTGCAAAACTAGGACTAAGAAGATGGCGGATGAAGAGCATATTCGGCACTGCATGCTTTACGAGTTCCAATTAGGAAGAAAAGCAAGTGAGGCTGCAAAAAAACATCTGTAGTGCTCTTGGTCAAGATGCAGTTAGTGCCAGAAAATGCCAGCGTTGGTTTGAGAAATTTCGCGAGGGAAATTTTTTGTTAGATGACAAGAGTGGTCGAGGCCGTGTGTCCAATTTTGATCAAGAAGCTCTTCAAGCTCTTTTGGTGCAAAATCCTCAAATTACCCAACAAGAGCTTGCGACAACTTTAAATTGTTCACAAAAAACAATTTCCAATCAATTGCGTGCACTTGGCAAAGTCCAAAAGTTTGGAAAATGGGTTCCTCATGAGTTGACCGACAACAACCGTAATCAAAGAGTCACAATTTGCAGTTCGCTCCTCTCTCGTCAAAACTGTTTGCCGTTTTTAGAGCAAATTGTTACCGGAGATGAAGAATAGGTGCTGTATGTTAATCTGAAAAGGCGGCCTCAATGGTTGGACAAAAATGAGGCTCCGCAGCCCACGCCAAAACCTGACTTGCATGCGAAAAAAGTGATGTGTGTTTGGTGGAATTTTAAAGGAATTCTTCATTATGAACTTTTACCATCTAACCAAACCATTACAAGTGCAGTATATAGTGCCCAATTGGAAAGGTTAGCCCAAGCTTTAAGAGAAAAAGAACCCGCGCTGATTAATCGGAAGGGCATAATTCTTCACCACGATAACGCACGACCGCATACTGCAAGAATCACTGCTGAAAAACTGCGCCAGTTGGAATGGGAAGTTCTCCCTCAATCTGCATATTCTCCTGATATTGCCCCTTCCGATTACCATTTGTTTCGTTCTTTGTAAAACTTTCTTCTTGGAAAAAAATTTAATAATGAAGAATGCCTCAAAAATGCATTGACCGAATTTTTGGCATCAAAATCACAAGAATTTTACAACAGAGGGATTAAAATGCTTCCTGAGCATTGGGCACAAGTAGTAGAAAACAACGGCAACTATATTGTTGATGAAATTTTGTTGTATTGTTTAAATAAATTCGATTTTAAAAAGTATTTGAAAACGACATTAATTATTACTAGACCTAATAACAAAATACCCAAACGGGTTGTTCATGGATCAGGTAGATGGAATTAGGTGGATTCTTTTTTCTCCTTTGGTGGTGGTTGTTTTTACACTCAGGCCTTGACAGGCAGGCAGGGGCCACACAATTCCAAAATTCAGTGCCACTGTGGCTCTTTACCTTTGAAACAAGAAAAATATATTTCTGCTCACTCATCAACATTAGGAAATCTTGATTCCAGTGTCTATTTATTTATTTATTTATTTGTTTGTTTATTTATATATTTTACTATTTTAAATGACTAGGAGATTATTACCAAGTTGGGTAATTTTGCCATTCAACAACATAAGACTAGAAATTTTTCTGTCATGTTATATCTTTTTTTTCTCTCCCCCCATTCCTCCCTAAATATTTTCATATACATTTGCATAAAATAAGTTGTTCACATAAATACATTGTGCTTTTTATCCATAGCCCCATGCTGGTCATGGAGCTTAAGAAAGCTTAGACCTTAAGCAAATCAATGAAATAACATCTGCCTGGATTTTAAGCACCTACTATGTGTATACCAATCCCTGTGTAATAATACTGTTTTGCATTTCTTAAATATAATCCTCTGAAGGGTTTAATCCTTAAACAAACCTCCCATTTTACAGGACAGGCTATTGAGGTTAAAGAACTTGCCTAAGTCCGAGTTCTGGAAGTGACTAGAATTTGAAGCCAGGCCTGCCTAGCTTCCTTCTGCACTCTTTTTCCAGCAATACTTTTGGTTCCTGGGTTTTCAGGAGGTCTCACCACAATCTCCTCTCCCCACAGCACAACAATGCACACTAAAGATTAGATTTCTTATAGTTTGTCCTTCTCATGCTGTCATTTTCCACTGATGGGAGGAAAAACTATTTCAGTGACTTGATCAGTCCATGTCAATCATGGGCTGCCACATATAAAATAGGTGTTATGTGACTTCAGAAAATTGTGTTATGGCACGGTTATGAAAAAAATTATATATATATATATATATATATATATATATATATATATATATATATATATATATATATATCTGGAAGCAGGAAATTGTGTATTTTTAAAACATGAGTTAGGCCTGGTCACTGTGGCTCAGTTGGTTGAGCATCATCCATGCCCGAAAGATCACCAGTTCAAATTCTGGTCAGGGCACATGCTTGGGTTGTGGGCATGATCACTAATAGGGGGTGTGCAAGAGGCAGCCGATCAAAGTTGCTTATCGATGTATCTATCCTCTCTCTCTAAAAAACAAAATGAAACAAAACAAAAATACCACATATTTAAAAACAAACAAGAAGCACGAGTTTGCTGCATTGCTGAATTTGTGTGTTCTTATAGGTGATGAAGAGTATGAAGACGGAATTGAAAGGACGTGCGACACTCTCCTGATGTGCATTGTCACCGTCCTGAACCAGGGCCTCAGGAACGGCGGTGGCGTGGGTGATGTGCTGAGAAGGCCATCAAAAGATGTAAGCAGGAGGAAAAGTATTTCTTCAAGGAGCACATAATCATTTTTTAAAAGTCTCTTAACATTTACTATATATATAGTTTTCAGGGTACTATCTTGTGTCTTGCTTTACAACTATAATGATAGCCATTAAAACCAGTTAATTGTATACTATGATTACATAGACATCACTAATGTACTAAAACCTATATTGTTAGCAGGATTATGAATTTTGTCCAAGTTTGAACTGCGTATTGTGTTACAGCAACAAAATCGTGATTCGAGAAGTTATATAGGAGTTGAGTGTTACATAAGTAACAGAAACTTGACTGTCTTTTGTCTATCAGGTTTCTTAGGCATGAAGATTTTCTCTTTGCCTCTGCCTATGAGTAGCCTTTATTATTTATCCATGATGAACATAACATTTAAATAAATTCTAACAGGATTTCATATCTTAATATGGTAAGGCTGAAAAATTTCTCATTGGCTGCAAACACCAGGCTGGGAGCTTGAAAAAAAAATCTCAGTTCTCCAGCAGGCTAGTTGTATCATGTGGTCAGTTCATGTAATGTTTCCTCTTTATGGCATAGCTGTATTACATGACCTCTGTTGTGTACTTTAATACTGTTCATCAAGTAGAAATAGCTTGAGCTGTATGTACTTGACCCTGAATGTAAGGCCAAGAACAAAACCTATTCCAGAACTTGACAAATCATTAGGTTCTCCTCAACTCCTTAATCTCTTGACTTTTGGAATCGATATTTGTATGTCTTTTGTGCAACTTGTGGGATGCAATCTGCCGCACCAAAATGCATTTAGCATGCTGACTTACTTAATAAAAAGCAAGTCTCTCCATGGCAGGGGTGTGAGTGGGGGAGGGCAGGTGTAAGTCCCAGGGAATGGAAGGGGTTCTAGGAACAGGCTGTGAAGCTTTTCTCATTACATTTAAAGAAAATGAAGGTAGAAAGCGTGTCTTATTTTTTCCAACTTGGAATATTATTTATATTAATTTAGCAAATATTTATTGAATATATTCTCTTTGCTAGCCAATATGCTAAATTGCCATGCATTGAAAATGTGTATGCGTATATAGTTTTATTTTAATTTTTTGTTTCAGGAGCCCTTGTTTGCTGCCCGAGTGGTATATGACCTTCTTTTCTATTTCATTGTCATCATTATTGTCCTTAACTTGATTTTTGGTGTCATCATTGATACTTTTGCTGATCTCAGAAGTGAGAAACAGAAAAAAGAAGAAATTCTAAAGACAACCTGCTTCATCTGTGGTAAGTGTTCTCAAGATACTAAGATAATAGGTGACACTGCCCAGGAGGGGCTAGAATGGTATTTACTTGCCATGCTTTGGGAAAAATCATTTCAAAATAGAAGCTAGATAACATCCAGATTATGTAACTGAGCATTCGACTGGGATTCTCCGTTCCATAAATAGATAGAATAATTACATCCCAAGGCTATCTTACCATTACTTCTACAATTCCTATGATTCACTGACTATGGAATATGTTGCAAAATGCCAAAAGGTTCCATCAACTGGTTAAATGGATTTTTTATCCCAGTAACATATTGATTAAATAACAGAATGATTATTTTGTTAGATTATGAATTCACAGATGTTTTTTCAGTAACTTGAACTTTTACTCACTGACACTTTTCATTTCTCTCTCTCTCTCTCTCTCTCTCACACACACACACACACACACACACACACACACACACACACAATGTCCTCCCTTCTCCCATTATTATCTCTCTCAGGTCCAACCTTTTCTTTGTCCTCATCATTCCCTTTGGCTCTACCCTCTTTTCCATATACCACAGCTTTCTGGTTTAGTTTTCTCTACAGCTGGCCCAATTACCCTAGAATCCTTTCCAATCCTGAAATAACCCCCAGCTCCAGATTATACTCATCATCTATTTTTTCCCATGTTGGGCTGAAGAATCTTTTGATAAAAGTCACAAAACCAGCATAAGAGCTTCACTACAACATTTTCTTATACAACTTGAATGGGACCCTCAGCAAACCCCATTCCCTTTTTGGTTTGCCTTTTGTCAACTGTCTCATTTCCCTATATAGTAAAAGTTGCTAAGAGAGTTTTTAAAAAAATGATTTAAACCATGCATTCTGGGAGGAGGACTGATGGTGGCTTTTCCAAACCTTTCCAACATTGCTCCACCAGTTGGAGGCACACCAGGTCGTAACCTGTAATAATGAGCTACATTCTAAGGAAGAAACAAAGTAGACATGCCCTTCTTCTACTGTGGAATTCAAACACAATGAGTATTGTTGCTCTGTCATGTGTTGAGGGAAATGATAGTGTTCACAGGTTGCTGTATCTCTTCAGGTTGAGGTAGGGGGCAGGCAAGAGTCAGAAAAGGCTTCTCAGAAGAGATGGTCCCAGAGCTGATGGTAAAAGATGGAAGGGAGGTAGTCATATCAAAGTGAGTAGAAGCAGAGTGGCTGGTGTAAGGAAAGGCATGGAGGGGAGAAAAATATGATGAGAATCTTAGGTTACTATAAGAAGCTCAGGGTTGCTGGAACTTACATTTCTGAGCAGGGCATGCCAAGAGAGGAGATTGGCCAGATCATATGTAGCCTTTTATGTTAAAAAGCATGGTCTTGATCCTATAGGCTTGTAGAGGATGGTCAACCATTAAAAAATGTTAAGGAGAGGAAGACAGGGTTTTATTTTTGATTTGGAGCTCTGTGGCAGGAGTGGGAGGTTGTTCTTCAGGGGACAATACTGGAGACAGAGTAACCAGGGATGAGTTTATTGCCATAGTCCAAGTGAAAGGTAACAAAACCTTAATTCAGGAAATAGTCGTGGCAGCATTAAGGGTTGAGGACAGAATCAAGAAATATTTAAGAGAGCCTCTCCAGTGTTGCTCAGTGGTTGACCCATGAACCAGGAGGTCATGGTTCGATTACAGTCAGGGCACATGCCTGGCATGTGGGCTCAATCCCCAATATAGGGTGTGCATGAGGCAGCCAGTCAATGATTCTCATCATTGATGTTCCTATGTCTCTCTCCCTCTTCTTTCCTCTCTTTGAAATCAATAAAGACATATTTTTTAAAAAGAAATATTTAGGAGATATGAAATCTCAGTGATTTGGAATGAATATGAAAGAGCTGGGGTACCTGGATAGATGGTAGTATCAACAGCTGAATTTGAGACTAGAAAAAGAAAAACAAATAAGGTATGCACTGAACACCCCAGTCAGATGCATTCAGCACAGAGGTCCACATATGAGTTCCGACAGTAATTGGGGAATCCTCAGCCTACATATGGTAGGAAAAGCTGGAGTCTAGAAAAAGACTCCTGAGTGAGAAAAGAAGATGGAGGTCAAGTGGAAAACCTCACCATTGAAAAATTAAAAGAGAAAGAGATCACACATAATACAATCATCAAGTCCAAGAGATGTGAGGCGAGCCAGGGCTGTGTGGCATGTTGAAATGAGGGGGGAAAATATTTTTGGAAGAAAGAGATTGATTATTGATTGTCAACACAGAGAAAGTCAATCACATATGAACTGAAGTAGAGCCTTTGGGATTCTCATTTAGGAGGTTTTGCTGGCTTTAGATAGAGTAGTGTCCACGAGGGTGAGGACAGGTACCAGACTGCACAAAGCTAAGGGAGGGACTTGCCGGGAAGGAAATTGGAGGAGGAAGAAGCGTCTTCTCTTTATATGTCTAGATTAGGTGGTAGGAAGCAAGACTTTTATGGAGCCAAGCATACAATAATTTCAGGATTTGGGGAAGTGAACCTCTGTATTGAAGGGTGAGTTCCAAAGAGAAAAAAGATGCTGCCCCTGAAAATCTCTGTGTTTCATGGTCTTACTTTCACACTGCTTCCTCTCAGCCCTTTTCTTTATGATCATAATAACTATTATGTCAGCGTACTACCTCTGAAAAATGATGGTGTTTTTTTTTTTTAAGATGTTATCCATAAGGTATGAGCCTCATTCTAAGACATGATCCTGTTTCCCATATTCTAAAGACAAAAAACATGAACAATATAAGAAGGCCATCACTTAACCACCATTCCTGCTCCTCTAAAGTTTCACTGTCAAATTCTCTTTGGCTTTTTATAGTTATTAAAAAAGCAAGCCTATAACCTATAAATTCCTTAAAACATCACAATAACCTTCATCACTAAATTGAAATGTTTTTCTCCAATTTCATAATTAATTTCCTGCTGACCTTTCCTTCTACCTTGAGTTGTACATTCTCTGATTTCATCGCAAGGTCCTATTTTTTTCTCGAAATCCTTAGAGAAGAGGTTCTGATTTTATCATTGACTCCTTGTCTCTTCTCTCTGCCCTCCTCTTTTACATCACTTTATTGCCAAATATGCCACCACACTCCACGCTCTCTCCAGGCTTCTGTCCTTTGTCTTCATCTGTTGACTGACATTATAAGGGTGTGACTTCTAGCAGCCAACTTGACTGTGTTTAAAAACCAGTGCATCATGTCTTTCCATCTCCTCCCTCCAATCCAGCAACTTCTCCTGACTTCCATATTGCAACCGTTGACCTCCCATCAGTTATCTGAATTGGGAACGTCTCCATAATTTTTAGTATCTGCTCTTTGCTCTTCCAGGTGCACTAGGTACCATGTACTAATGAATCTTCTTTCACAGTCTTACTCACTGCCTTCCACATATTCCCATAGCCACACCCTGGCTCACCCCCAGTGGCCTGCTCAGCTCTGCTAGGCTAATTTTTCCCCTTTGGATTCATCATTTCCAAACTCAGGCTATCAAGAGCATTGCAGTCTATAGCTTCAAAACTCTAATTTTCCTGGTATGTAAGATGCCTCACAATTGGGCCCCTTCTTTCTTTGCTTACCTTTCACCCAGTGTTCTTATTTATAGCTCAAGTTATAGTCCAATTCTATTACTCCTCTGTAACTCTCCATGTGGTCCCAGTTATGGTTTTCTCCAACATGGTCTCAGTTATAGTGTTTCTCCAATTTCTAGAATGTCCAAGCTGCTAAGCTGTGAACTCCTGCCCTCATTCTGAGTTGTAGGTCTTATTCCATGAAGCCTTCTCTGATCTCACTAACCAAAATCAAACATATCACTCTGTTCCTAAATCCCTCATATCACTCTTAGCTATATGATTATGTATATATTCTTTTTTATTTTTTTAAATTTCCTGCTGGATAAGCCACTCAGCCTGTTGATTTTTTAAAAAATACATTTGATTTTTTTTTATAGAGAGAAAGGGAGAGAGAGAGCTAGAAACATCAATGAGAGAGAAACATCGACCAGCTGCCTCTTGTACACCCCCTACTGAGGATGTGCCAGCTGCCTCTTGTACACCCCCTACTGGGGATGTGCCCGCAACCAACGTACATGCCCTTGACCGGAATCGAACCTGGGACCTTTCAGTCCGCAGACCAATGCTCTACCACTGAGCCAAACCGGCTTCTGCAATTCTGCATACATTCTTGTTGCCTTATCTTCTTTGTGGGATGCCATTTATTATTATCCTATTATAGAAGATGCATGGACTTATCGACATGTCCTGACTAGGTGATGTTAGCCAAGGTTCCTTTCACCTTGAACTATTGTTTCCTTATCTGGAAAATGAGAATATAATGCCACATTTGGGGGTTTGGTGAGTTTAAATGAGATCCATTTATTGGGAGTCCTAGCTCAATGCTTAGCCGAGATTAAGCACTCAATACATGTTAATTTCTCTTCTTTAAGAGCTCCAGACCCATGTCACATCCATTTTTATGCTTCCATAGCATGTATTGGGAACCATTCATAAATATTTTCTTAATGAATGACTATCCAATTATTCAGCTCCAAATTAACATTGGCTTTATGCCACTGTGCCTTAAAACCTATAAGAGAAAGTTAAAACAAGTAAGTACTAAAAGAATATATATGGTAGACAAAAATATCTAGGTGCACTAATTTCGAGTTATTCCAATTTTTGTCACATGGGGGCCATGGTCTCGGTGGTGTACATGTGTCTGCAGGGATGCAGAGAAACCGCGAGGCACGGGGATGTTGATAGGTGGTTCATTTCTCAGAAGCCTCGTGTTTATTTCAAAATTTGAGTGGCCACTTAGGTAACTTAACCTCAGAGTAGATTTAAATTGTATTTTTATATTCGTACAAATAAAATGTTGTAAAGTAGAATGAATTTAGTGTGAACACTTAAAATAAAATAGAAACATTTTTAACTATTAAAAAGTGGTGCCTGGCACTTTTTTAGCTACTAATCCCTGTAGCTTAAGGTTCTCTACTCTGC